AACATATGATAAAATAATAATAATTTATGAATTATGAAGGATCCATGAGGGATGGGGGAGTCAAGAGGGAGCTGATATTAAGGGCTCAAGTAGAAGGCAAATGTTTTGAGAATGATGATAGCAACAAATGTACATATGTGCTTGACACAATGGATGTATGTATGGATTGTGATAAGAATTGTACGAGCCCCCAATAAAATGATTTAAAAAAACAAAACCAAAAAGCATCACCATTGCCATCAAGTAGATTCTGACACAAAGCAACCATACACAGCTTTTCTGAGATTGTAAATCTCTCAAAGAGCAGCCAGGCTGGCTTTGACCCACAGACTTCACAGCAACAAGGCCAACACTGAACCCACCTTGGCACTGTGGGTACAAAACTCACACTCACACTAGTAGAATGCTGACAATGTAGACTATTAGGAACAGATTATTAAAAACAAACAAACAAACAATAAACTTATTGTTGAGAGCAAGGGGGTCGGGGGTCGGAGCAGAGATCCCAAACCTATCTGTAGATAATGGGACATCCCCTCCCAGAAGAGACACAAAGAAGTCAAGCAGGATGCAGTGTAGCACTGATGCAACACACAATATTCCTCTGGTTCCTTGAAGTTTTCTCACCCCCCCACCCCCCGACACACACACATCCTGAGCCCAGTCCTGCCTTTCACTGCGGGCTAGACTGAAGTATATACACAGGTACAGATAAGAGATAAGAGCTCATGACACATGGAATCCAGGAACAGAAATGAGAGTAGTGATACCAGGAGGGTATGAAGAAAGGTGGGGAGAGGAGAGGAGGAAGGAGGAACCAATGGCAATGATCAATACATAACCACACAAACACCCCAGGGGGATGATCAACAGGAACCATGGGGAAAGGGAGACAGTAGTGTAAGATATAAAAACAAAAATAATGTATAATTTATCAAGGGGCCACGAGGGTGGGAGGAGGGAAGGGGGGAAAGAAAAGAGGAGCTGTTACCAAGGGCTCAAATAGAAAGCAAATGTTTAGAAAATAATGATGTCAACATATGTACAAATATGCTTGATACAATTGATGTATGGAATGTTATAATAGCTGTAAGAGCCCCCACTAAAATGATATTTTAATCATCATCATCATCATCATCTTTATCATCATTGAAGTGAATTAAGCACACACAAAAATGTTAAGAGTAGATTATTTGGAGCTAAACCTGGTAATAAGAAAAAACACCTGAGTTCTTTTTTTAGATATTGCTTGCTTAGGTGAAAACTTCACAAGTACTTAAAAACCTTTAGATAATGAAAGTACAGTTCAGGATTGTCCCCCATCTGAAGAGAAGAAAATTAATAAAAATTAGAAAACATATGGAAACAATTGGTCCAAAGGACTAATGGACCATGTAAGCATCATTCTCTGGAACTTCTAAAACCTGTAGAACTAGGTGGTGGCTGACTACAAGTACGAATGCATGAGAAAGTCCTGAGGGTGGGAACATATGCAACAAAACTTAAAATTATGAAAAAGAAACCAGAATTACCTACCTGATCAATACTAAAGACTATGACACTTAGTCACCCTTCAGGTGTGGAACTGAACTCACCCATATGAATCAATTTTCAAGCAAAAAATAGCAGTTACTATAGGGAATAGTTGAAGACCATACACTTTAGAGTAATCAACTAGTTAAGGTACCAAGGGTAGCATTTACTCAAGGATAACTTTAAAAATGGTTAAGAAAGAAGTAAGGGAAATAGAAAACAGGGAGGATGTGGGATATGCAATATACATTAAGGGATTGCAATGATTGAAATGAAACAACATGAGTAAAAATCCAGAGATGTAA